TGCCTCAAAATCATAACACCCTTTATTTCTACCCCCCACTTCTAATACAGTTACAGGAATCCCCTCTCCCTCAACCCCAACTATCTCACTTCCCTTTACCCCTTCCCTCATCCTCTCTGAGTCCGAAGACTCACTCATTATATCAACGTCACCATACTCCAATGCTTTTACTTCCTCACTTCCTCCAACGCCCATCGTTTCCTCAAAAGACATCTTTTCAAGTTTTGTAACTTTCATTGCATGGAGTAGGGGGGAATGAAGTCAGGATCTTCAAAAACCTTTTAACTCACACTCATTGTCACTCTCACTCCTAATCCTAACCTCCTTAAGAAGGTTTAAATCTAAATCAGAAAGGGTGAGAGGAGAATAAAACTTGTCACTAAAATCTAAATCATTAAAATTTAAATGTTACCTGATTTCGGTCTTGTAAAATTGATGTAGAAGTCCACAGAGAATGCAAAAGTCCCAACACAGAAACACAATAGAAATTTTGGCAGCACTTCGGTAGAAAATACAACAAAAGTAAAACCCCTTTTACAGACTTATAACTATATATACCAAAGCAAATATATGCTTCAACGGTTGTGATTAATTTCATCTAACGGTCACAGTTACACCATTTCGAATTCAACGGTTAATCCTTAATGGAAACCTCTCGAATTCGTTGGTTCGTATTTCATTCCGTCTGTTTAACTGCAGTAGTTACTTTTCCAACTCGTATTTATTGTACATGGCTTTCAAAAGATAGCTATCACGTTACGTACTAACTATACGTCAGGCTTTTCAAACGGGCCCAATTAAGCCCAACCCAGTGCTTCTGTTCACTTTCACATGAATATTTTTCACTTTTACAAGTGTTTCACCTCGGGTAACCTCGACTATACTTGTTACTTCGGCTCCTGCCACAATGACTCCGGTCATCATTTGTTACTTCGGCTACGGCCACGATGACTTCGGTCATCACATGTTACTTCGGCTATGGCCACAATGACTCCAGTCATCACTTGTTACTTCGGCTACGGCCACAATAACTCTAGTCAATACCTTTTACACTGGCTCCGGCCATTGTGACCCCGAGTCACCAAATTTCGTTTATCATCGCAATTATTACAATTCAGATATCTTTATTTCGGCTATGACAGTCATATTATGGTTTTACAACATGCTCTTTCAATCGGTCATGTGATACTTCACCATCCTTTATTATGTACCTCAATGTAAGTATATACTTCCCTTACCACTTCTACCTACATCATTCACAAGGGAATGACTTCGAGAGGGAAATAATGTAAGGATAGGTCTGAGGTTCTTAACTTCGGATGTATTGCTACAGTCTCTTAATAGCCGAAGTGAAGATTAAATCCAGCGCTTCTTGGCCAAGTGGCCGCATAATAGGTACAATGCACATGTCCACACCTGATTCCCCACACTTGATTTCTCGGTCCTGAAATTATCGCCTGAAGGGACACGTTGGACTCTGATTATTCTGTTGAGCAAGTCACGTGGATACCTCACTAAGGCCTATAAATACCCTCTGGGGGCCACCTTAGAAAGGTAATTGAAACCAACCTAAAACTCATTTTTCCATTATTCTAAAGGTAAATTCAATTATTGCTGACTTAAGCATCGGAGTGTCTATCCCGATAATCCACCTCGGGGCTTTGCAGGTTCATCTGGAGTGGAGACGCGAACTAAAGAAGGACTTCTGGTTTCGTGCAATTACAATTATGTTTATTTTTTTTAGGTTAAATACCCTTTTTGGTCCCTCTACTATAGGAAAAAGTCCCTTTTTGGTCCCTATATCGAAAAAATCCCTTTTTTGGTCCATACTATTCCCAAATCCAACCCCTTTTTGGTCCTTCCGTTAACTTTTGCTTATGTGGTATGTTAACTTAACTAGAACAACTGACGTGGGTATGCCAACGCGTAAAAT